CCTCCACCTCTTTGCATGGCTTTTAGCATACAAAGCAAGGGAACTAAAATATTGGTATCAGTTCTAAATTCACGTAAGCTGCCTTGAGAGCCAATTTTTGGCTCTAAAGTTGGGGTAAAAAGGCATTCGCAATAGATCAGCTCACTGTGATCAGGCAAAAAACCCACATCAATTTATCTTGTGATTCTTTCTCTATCCCTCTTCTTTTTTCCTTGTATTCCCTTTCCTCTTCTCTTCCTCAGGCTGGAAAATTCAGCATTGTGCCCACGGCTGTCAACTTGGGAACAGGGGCTGCCTTTCTTGGTGCTGTAAGTATGCCCCCCCCCTAAAAAAACATCTTGGTCAATCTAGGACAAGTGTAGCTCACCCAGCTTCCTGGTATGCCAAAATTCCAGGGGTGGCCCCCCTTGGCTCTGCAAATGTCTCAGGGAGAGCAAGAGATGCTGCCTGCACTTTTGGATGAAACACATAGGTCCTTCCTGCACTTGGACCTCATCCCGGGTTTTCTCTGTGTTCGACTTGCAGCCATTTACCTTGCTATTATCTCTGGCTGATTTCGCACTAGAGCTGCCTCTATGTTGCGCCGCCGTTTGCCCCAATACTATTGGTCAATTTCACACCTGAAGCTGCGGGGCTGCATTTTGACTCGCAGCTTCGCCCGATTTCCCCCGCAGTTTCGTGATCCTGTTTTTTGAGGATCACGAAACTGCGGAGGAAATCGGGCGAAGTCACGGGTCAAATGCAGCCCTGTGGCTTCGGGTGTGAAATTGACCAATAGTATCGGGGCAAACGGCGGCGCAACATCAAGGCAGCTCTAGTGCGAAACCAGCCTCTGTTTTATCTGTTGTTTTCTGCATTTATTTTGTCCTCCTCAGATTCATTTGCCTGCCCCGGGTCATAAATTCTGCATTGCAAACAGTAAACCCGGGTTTAATCTGGTGGCTCAAACCTTCTCTTTCAGGCTCATGTGGTGGCGTTCTCACCCAATCTTTTTCACCATAGCTCTCATGAAGTGTTGACTGGCCGTCATTCAAAAAATGGCTCTACCGTTTCCCACCAGTCTTCAGCCTGTAGTATAAAAGCCCACCCATTTGGGCCATCACTGACCCACCCATGCCCCAGTATTCCTTATCCGGAAGAGGCTACTGAACTGCTCCTAGCAAGTGACTTTCCCATGAGCAAGAGCCTGGGACGTGGACACAGTGGTGAAGGAGAGAAAAAGAAGCTTCACAAATTGAGCTAGATACTAAAATTCTGCTTTGTAGCAACTATTAGTGGATCAGTGTTGTAGGATCCACCCCATTACAATGAAATCGAGAAAATACCCATCTTACCTCTTGCTCATTTGATCTACTTCAGCTGCTCAGCACACCACTAGGGGAGGGGAGGGATGAAAATCTATAGCCAGGGGAGTTCTTAAAAACTCACACTGACCCTGACTAGCGAGACTAAGCAAGATGATCCACATTTCCTTGCCACAGGTCAGGCTGCATTTATGGCTGCCTGATCATCGCAGCTGAGAATGCATATAGCACTTTCAGAGTTCCAAGCACAGCCATCACGTACCTTGACTCATGTACCAACTGAGGTATATTTGTTGTCTCCTCGAAAAGTTACATTTCAAAAATTCTTTAGTGGAATCAAATCATCATTGCAAATGTTGGTTTATGCTGCATTTAACAGTCCACAGAAACTAAACATTTGTTTGTACCTGCCTAGGCCTCTGTTGTTTGCGACCTGGTTCTCCTGTACCTTGATACAAAAGCAGAGTTCTATCGGAGCGAGAAGTATGAGGAGGTAACAACTGAACACTGTTGGGTGCCAATTTTTTAAGTGAGGTGTCTGCATTTTCAAAATCCTCTGTCTCCCACAAGATCTTGCACTGTAAACTCGTAATAGTTATTTTGCCAGCATACTACAGTCCACTCCCCCATCCCCATCGATCCACCATTTCTACATTGTGTCCCAGTTCAGAGAATGGCAGGGTGTTCGAATAGTCCTCTTCTCCTTCTTGCATACAGCCTTCTGCACCGAGAGCCACGTGTGCATTTACCACTGGGCTTCTGGTGGTCTTTTCCCCTGGCTAGCTGGCTTTTGCTGGTGTCCACATGAAAATACAGGTGTAGGGTTGGGGACGCGCATTAGGAACAGCTATCCTGTATGGATCAGGAGGTTTGTACATTTTGGAAGCATGTTTTAACTTAGCCCAGAGGTCTTCAACCAATTGGTCAGGACCCTTCAGTGGGTCCCAGGACTGCACCTGTTGTGTCATAAGCCGCCTTTTTGGGGGGAGGGGGGAGGACCTGCTGCTAGGTGCTTGGAGAGCAAGAGAATCACACCCTCTGCCCATGCGCACAAAACAAGTAGCAAGACAAAGAGAAGTTACTCAAGTATGGATAAGGTTCCTTTTTAGCACATAAGAACATAAGAGAAGCCATGTTGGATCACGCCAATGGCCCATCCAGTCCAACACCCTGTGTCATACAGTGTTCAAAACCCAAGTACCATCAGGAGGTCCAACAATGGAGCCAGAACTCCAGAAGCCCTCCCACTGTTGCTCCCCAAGCACCAAGAATACAGAGCATCACTGCCCCCAGACATCGTGTTCCATCTATACCATGTGTCCAGTGTTCCCTCTAAGCTGAGTTAGTGTGAGCTAGCTCACAGTTTTTTAGCCTCTGGCTCACACATTTTTGTCTTAGCTCAGGAAGGATGGCTCCAGAGCAAATTAATTTATGCAGTAGCCAAATCGCTCGGTCACAACTTTAGTGCCAGTAGCTCACAAAGTTGAATTTATGCTCACAAGACTCCACAGCTTAGAAGGAGCAAATAGCCACTGATAGACCTCTGCTCTACATTTTTATCCACTCCCTTCTTGAAGCTATGCTTGTAGTCGCTACCACTTCCTGCAGGAGTGAATTCCGTGTGTTAATTGCCCCTCCTCTTCCCATCATGTGACTCAGGTGTCATGTTACTGCCTGTTGTGCATTTGTAACTCACTGGGTCTCACGCTTTTTTCTGGGGATTAAAGATGGGAGATTGCTGTTTTACAGGTATGAGGGTCCAGCCCCTCTTCCCACCCATCAACCTTGCTGTCCTCTCCCATTTCTTGCCATCAGTTCAGTCCTTTACCTGCTTCTACTAGGGCTGCCAAATCCCCCCGGGGGGCGGATTTCCCCCCGCTTTGGAGGACCGATTTCCGCCCCCGCAGAATCGGCCCCCGGGGGAAAACCCACCCCCGCGTGCACGTCACAGCCATTTGAGGGGAAAACTATGTTTTTGAGTTTTCCCCTCAAATGGCTGTGCCCCGCACCCAGCGTCCCCGGCGTCATGACGTCACTTCCCTGTGACGTGCATGCTGCCGGGAGCCAGCACAAAGTCCCCCGCCGGCAGAGGTAAGTCGATTTGGCAACCCTAGCTTCTACTGACTTGAGACTCCCATTTTTCAGCTTCTCACCCACCTGGAAACTAGCTCTGGGGAAGGAGATTATGAGTTTCTGGTATTTGCCCCTCTCTAAATTACACAGGACTGGCATAATTTGCTTCCCCTTTCTGAATTCTTTCCTGGCTGGATGAATAACATGCTAGAAATAAAGAAGCATTCAAACCCTAACACTATCCCTCTTGTGTTTTTGCAGGCAAAGCCACCAAAAGACACAGTTAATGTAGCTCCATAGCACTACAGACTGGAGAGGGCAGACACACGATGCCCCACTTTACGAGGGTCAACTGGAAACAACTTGAAGTGCCTCTGCAGAGTTTGTGACTCTGTTGGTGCAAAGATATAGGTCTATTGCCAGTTTTTTGTTTGTTTGTTTGTTTGTTTGTTTTACTGCACTGGAGCAAACAGCAATTCTGGGGGCCAGTTTCAGGTTAGGAAAACAATGTAGGGGAGAGGGTTAAATTTCCTTCCACCAGCGGCATAGTCCTGATCTGAATTAGGCCCCCACATGACTGCAGTTTACAAAACATTTAGGTGTTCTGCATAAAGAACTTCTAGCTGGACCTGAAGTTAGATGCACTGCATGACAAACATTCAAGGGGTCTTTCTCTCTTCCCCCTCCTGCCTTGAAATTTTAGATAAGCTTGCCAGAAGACCCTTGTCACAAAGTTGAGGTTCCTAAAATAAGGCTGAAATTAAGCTGGCCTTTCCTTTTCAAGGACTTTTAAAGGAACTTTAACAGTAGTACCAGGCTAAATGGGTCAGTTTGTCACCATAGATAGGGTTTCCAAACTTCTGGAGCATATAGGCACTTTGGGAATTTTGAGCGGGTGCCACCACAAAATGACTGCCATAGGAGGCTAATCACAAAATGTTTGGGAGTTTGCAAGCTTAACATCCTCCTATAATGGAGAATGTTTCTGCACGATGGCTTAGTGGTAGAGCATCTGCTTGGCATGCAGAAGGTCTCAGGTTCAATCCCCAGTATCTCCACTTAAAAGATCTGGCAGTAGGTGATGTGAAACACCTTTGCCTGAGACCCTGGAGAGCTGGTGCCAGTCTGAGTAGACAATACTGACTTTGATGGATCAAGGATCTGATTCAGCATCAGGCAGCTTCAGGTGTTCAGGTGATGCCTCCTGAGGGTCTTCTGAAGTACCTCCTGCTGCAATGAGGCAGAGAGAAGCCAGGACTGACACTTGGCTTTAGGGAAGTAGGAAGTAGGCACCAGGAAACACATTGATGGGCACCATGGTACCCACAAGAACTACACTGGGAACCGCTATCAAGTTATTATAACGTAACTTTTGTCTCTTTGGTATGTCATAGTAATCATGTCTTAGTAATTCACTTTTTGTTGCTATTGAGGAAACTAGAACAGAGGAGTCGTGAGATGCTTCAGTGTTTTTTTCCCCAGGTTCTCTCTGACTGAGTGTTTCAGTGGGAATTTTGCTGAGCATCAATGTTCTCGCGCAGACACCAGAGCAAGTTCATGATCAATAGGCAGCAACTGACCTCTCCCCAATGGCAGCCTCTCGTACTTGTGGGTGGCTTCCCTTCAGGCCCCCCCTTCAAACTGCTTCAGGTAGAATTGCCTTGCCAGCTGCTTGGTCATTCCTTTAAGTGCAAAAAAGGCAGCTCCAATCTCAGAGGTGAGAAAGAGGAGGAGGATCAGATGCATGGCCATCTCCAGAGGCAGCCTGATGGTATCCTTATCAGTCAGAAGGAACAACAGGACAGGCAGCTCTATCAGGAATGACAACAGGAGGAAGCCAGCAAGCTCTGGGACCTGCAGGAATCAAAGAAGAATCAGAGAATGCTGCAGATATCGAAAATGAGGAGCCCCGTCATGCAAAGTTCCGCTTTTCGTGGGTGTCAGCAGCCACTTGCCACACTGCACCAGCGAACTCACATCTGCAATAAAGCTAAAACTGATTTGCTCCTCAAACCTCTCCTCTGTGAATGGTAATGCTGGCAGTGTTCCCTCTAAGCTGAGTTAGTGTGAGCTAGCTCACAGTTTTGTAGCCTCCGGCTCACACATTTTTGTCTTAGCTCAGGAAGGATAGCTCCAGAGCTAACTAATTTATGCAGTAGCCAAATTGTTCGCTCACAACTTTAATGCCAGGAGCTCACAAAGTAGAATTTTTGCTCACAGGATTCCACAGCTTAGAGGGAGCATTGATGCTGAATATTCATGAATAAGTTTTGAATGGTCAAATATTCACCAACTATTTGGCACCTGATATATTTTATTTCAAGATTTGGTATCTGGTTGAAAAATCTGGTTTCAGTGTTCGAAATTCAGCAACTGATATTTCAAGATGGTTGCTAGTTGTAGTCCAGTGATGTTTACATTTAAGCAATATTTTATGGATGGGGGGGGATCTCTGAGGCAACTGTATTTGAGGAAGGGGAGCTGAGCTTGCTGCTCCCTTGTTCCCCTTCAGCCCCCATCCGTAAACTCTAAGAAGCAAAACCCTTGCTCACCCAAGGAAGATTTTTATCTCCAAATAAATACAAGCAGTGGCTTTGCCCACCTGGGTGTGGAGATGTAATGGAACCTTCCAAAGCAGCTGTGGGGAGGGTCTGATTGGGACTGTGCCTCCCCATGGTTATCCTCCAATAGAAGAAGAAGAAGAGATTGGATTTATACCCCGCCCTTCACTTGGAGTCTCAGAGCGGCTTACAAACTCCTTTCCCTTCCCCTCCCCACAACAGACACCCTGTGAGGTGGGTGGGGCTGAGAGAACTCTGACACAAACTGCTCTTTTTCAAGGACAGCTGTGCCAGAACTTGTTACTGACCCAAGGTCACATCAGCAGGTGCAAGTGGAGGAGTGGGGAATCAAACCCGGTTCTCCCAGATTAGAGTCCGCACACTTAACCACTACACCAAACTGGTGTAGAAATCCTCCTTCTTTGGTATTAGCAATCTGAGTGCATTTTTAATTGTTATTCTATAAAAATTAATAACTGCAGAGAGTGATTACCATGTCTATGATCCCAATGGCTCCCCAAGACTGCTTTTTAGGGATATACTGTACATCAGGAAATCTATCACAGATCCCCACCATAGTGTTGGTTTGCCCCTTAAGGTGGTTAAGGGAACCAAAGGTTGGTGTTTGTGCAGCTAACGGTGCCATCCTAAACAGAGTTACACTCTTCTAAGCCCATTGCCTTTATTGGACTTAAAAGGGTGTAACTCTTCTTAGAATGGTACTGTAGGGGCCAAACTAGATGTTACGGTGTCCACAAGTCTGACCTGTGAAAGCAAAGGCCATTTTAAAGCTGAACTTGGCCACTTAAAACAGGTTTTTTTCAGCACTCGAAAAGCTACCGGGGGTCGGGGGGGTTGGACAAGACTGCCTGGTCCCACAGCCTTGAATGCCGTTTTTATGCCGAGTCAGGATCGGTCATCCTTGTGGAATTTTTAAATGGCTGAGTGTCACTTTTAAATTGGAACTGGCATCCATGGTTGGACTTGAAGATGCCACAATGTCTGGTTTAGAGGTCCACGCAGATAGAAATACTCCAAAATTTCTTCATTCTTTAGAGAAGTCTGGGATTTATTTATTTATTTATTATCTGATTTATACCCCGCCCTCCCCGCAAGCAGGATGACAACATGAAGACTCCCCTCCCACAGGATCTTACCTTTCCTTGCAGGTTCCCAATGTATCCAAGGTAGAGACGCAAACCTTCCAATAAGATGATAATCAGATATGCACCAACTAGGAGAACTTGATAGTAAGTGGGCAGGAGGTTGTACTGTAAGAAGGGGTCATGATTTAGAAAGAGAAGGGTAAAAAGAAAGTTGCCATACAAGTCAAGAGCTCTGCACATTAGTCTAGAATAGGTCTTTAATGTTTCTAATCCCAGACAAGGAGCATGGGATCCAGGCACAAGCTTGCAACAGGAAGTCATGTGATTATCAATAACATGAAAAGGAGGAGCCAAAATTATGACTTCGCTGGTAGAGAGAGAAACTTTACAATGCAGATGTGCAACGAGCTTTGGAAAAGGGAGGGTGGCCCTACCAGGCTGTGCTGGGTGAGATGAAGAGAGTGATGACAAGGGAGAGCTTTGGCAAGGAGGTACATGTCTAAACCTTCCTGTCCTGAAAAGGAATCTTCTCCCCTGCTGAGTGACCTTGCCTTGCTGTCCCGCTGCCCCTCTGAGGAGACATGGCAGCTTTGCTCTCTAGGCATGTGCACGCACAGTCCCCCAAAAGGCAATTGTCCAGGGACACTGAGGGTCACAGTCCGTCAAAGACCACTGATCTGAAAAAATGGCTTCCTTCACCTGCTGAAGCAAAAATAAACAGGCTTCGCAGGGAACCTTAGAGTCTAGCAGTTTTTTATTCTAACATAAGCTAGGACGCAGTTCTAGTCCATGAAAGTTTTCGTAGATTCAAAACTGATTTGTCTTTAATGTTAACCTGGAGCCTTGTGGCATATTCTCCCCCTACATCGGGCCTTCAGATCACTGTAAGGGAGTGGAACGGGCACCACAGCACCCAGCGCGCGCACAGAATAGGTCTAGAAGCCGTAGAAAGGTGGGCTTAATTTAAACAAGAAGAAATGTTTCTATCATTCAATCAAAGAAAAAACAGGAAGTTTCTGGAATGTCCTTGGAGTTTTTCAGGAGGGAGACAGGACACCCCTGGAGCAGGTTATTTCAGGTCACCAGTTCAAACATTTGACGGAGCAGATCGTCTCTTCCTCCCCAGCACAGGAAGCCTCCCTGATTCCCCAGATGGAATTCTTCCAGTCTGGGCAAATCAGCCATGTTAGCAAGACTGCAGAGCTCTGGGAACCAGCCACCCCCATCAGCCTGCACATATCCATCTGTGACGGATCTTTAAGACTTGGACAGTAGGGATTCAGACTTGGGCCTCCCAGGTCTCAAAACAACACTGTAACCACTATACCACACTGGCACTCCTATCAGACACTTGTACAGCAAAATTCAAGAGGTGCGTGGTCGGGATCTTTTGCAACGTTCTCAAGGAACACCTCAGACCACACACGGGACGTTTGAGGAGCATCGAAAGCATTTTGGATGGGCCTTGTCGCTCATCCAGTTCAGTGGAGAAAGCAGCAGATGCCCAATGTGCAAAAATCCTCATCAACCGAAAGATACTTCAAAAAAGGAGCTGTACACATAAGCCCTCAAGGGACTGTTAATGTCTATGGTGTGCCATTACCTTAAGTTCCAGCATGAGTCCCTCTGCCAGACACCAGAAAGGGAAGTAAAAGACGTTGAAATACAGCATCATTTGCAGAGGCAAACAGGAAAGCACCTCCTGTCCTGGCCAGGAAATAAAACAAGCAAGATCATTTTCAGCCCACACTTTGATATTGTTGGGAAGAGAATGGTTTCCTCTAGAAAGTTTGCTGTATTAAAAAAAAAATTATAAGCCACCTTTCCAAAATATTGCCCATAGTAATGTGGAAAATGGGTATTTTAAAAAATAAAACACGCAAGTTTCAGTGAGCACTTGCAGGAGAACTTCCCTCGGAACAGTGTGCCCAGTGTTAGTAGTGCGCGAGACAGATGCCGTGACAGTGAGAGGTGCCTGCCTGGGGCTGACCTTGCAGATGTCACCCGTTGCAGGACAAACCATGACTCCAACCCAGCCTCTCTTGCTGCTTTGAAAGGTACTGAATTGCAACTCATGGCACTGGTGGATGTGGCTGGGAACCTGCGCCTTCCCACCCATCCCAGAGAACAACATGGTTGTGGCTGTATGTGAATGTGCATCACATTTGTATCCAAGGGCCAGTCCCACGTATGAACCTCCTTAGCGGGAGTGCGGCAAAATGGTTTCATGAGCTTTTAAAATAATGAAGTAGTTAATAAGTGGTTAATAATTAAGGAGTTAATAATTCTTTTTTTTTTAATTAGGGGGGGACACAGAGTAGATTAAGGGTAAAAGCAGGGCTATTTTTGGGCAGGAACGGAGTTCCGGCTGGCTCCTGAGTTGGCCACGCCCAGCAGGAGCTCATTAGCATAACAGGCCACACCCAACAGCAGAAACTCATTAGAATTGACTACATTAGGGGTGTGTGGCCTAACATGCAAAGGAGTTCCTGCTACAAAAAAGCCCTGGGTTTTGACAACAATCAAGGTAAACAGAATAAGAAGCAAAAGGTGGGTGTGGCTGGATGACCACACTTCTGGTAACATGGGGGTATGGCCTAATATGCTAATGAGCTGTACTATAAGGGGTGTGGCCTGATATGCTAAATGAGTTTCTGCTGTTGGGTATGGCTTATTATGCTAATGAGTTCCTGCCCTGGGTAAAAGGTACACAGAAGTAATATCAAGAGCTGAGCAATTTTGCACTAAAAACTCGAATACCCTATCTTTCTTTAAAAGTTACAAGGCACTGAATGAAAAGATGAACAAAGAATGGGATCGTGAATGGGGCTTTAAAAAAAATCTGTGAACAGTAATTTGCAGGAATTCAATATTTTTCTGTTGCCGCGAGCTCACCCCAAGGAACATGCTATGTGCCCTCTTGTTCTATTATGCTCTATTTCATGTGAGATGCCAGATCTCAAAGAGAGGAGCAGATATAGCTTTTTTCTCCAGGAAGAATGAATACAAATACGCAAGTATGAACATAAAAGGACCGGGTAGCTCAATGCTGGTAAAGTAGTGTGTGTTACTAAACTGCTCATCACAGTTGTTTGTGGGGGGAAAGACTTCAACAATCAACACACAAGAGGCTATTGCAGAGTTAATTAATAGCATGCAGAGCAGGATTTTGGCAGCATGGGATTGTGGGTATGGGATGGTACAATCTAGCACGAATCCGTTGAGGGCCAACCCAGACATTATACATTCTCTACAGACACACTACAGCTACTGCAAATTAAGTTTCCATGTGCTGCAGAGGCCCAATTTGGATTGGGACCATGGCACCAAGGGGAGGTGCCTCCCCCCTGCTCCTCCCCTTTCCCAAGATGGCCCAGTTCCCAACCAACCCTACTTGTGAACAATGTAATCAGAAGAGGGGTACTTTAAGTACAAAGGGGAAAGGAAATGGAATAGCAGCCAGTTGCTATTAAGGTCCTGAAGCTGAGCTTCTGCTTCACCGCTTTCTTGCAGGTAAACTCTTAAAGCCTGAGCCGCTGGCCAAGAGCTCTTTGCTTGGAGCTTGGAGGAAGGTCTGCTGCCAGAAAGAGGCAGAGAGAGAGAAGAACCATGCCCGGTTTCTTTTTCTCCTTTCTCGTATTTGTTTGCACAGTATTTTTGTATCCTAAGCTGCTTTGGTTCCCCGTTGTGGAGAAAGGTAACATGGAAACATTTAAAGCAACACACAAATGTCCATGTTTTGATTTGGGAGGGGATGCATTAGTGGCGCTGCTCCCAGTCCCCATGGAAGATCATCCTGGCACTGTTCATACCTGGGGTGTAGATCTGTCTCAGGCCACAGTCACCGGTCTTGTTGTTGATGAAGAGGGAGCCGCTGAATGTCGTCAGACCCCTCCGGAGGTGGGGAGGCAGGGGAGTCTGCAGAGCCATAGCCCTGGGTGTGGGTCGTACTCCACCACCCTGCTCTTCACTCTCACACCCTTGAGCTGGATCAGGCAGTGATCTGCTAATTTCATTACCTGGCTGGGCAGCACAGCTGCCACTCAGATGCTAAGCCTGGGGATTAAAGTGGGGTGCAGCAAGGAGAAAACAACCCTCCTCTGGTACAGCTGCCATCTCCTTTGCTGGCCGCTGTGCTCCTTTCATTTAAACACAACTTGCAAGGGGGGGAGGATGCAAACTTTTCAACCACCTTATAACAGTTATTTATTTCCATACCCTGAATGCTTTATCACCTTATTTCTGCAGCTCAGACTGCTGCCTTTTCTTCTGGTTCTTGTGGTCAAGCAAGTCAAATGCAGCCCACACCTGCCAGGGTTCTAGCAACCTCCCTGCCTTTGCAGTCCCAGGGAGCTGGGATGCTAATCCATGAGTGATGGGCCATCGATTCAGCTCTACAGGCTACAAGTTGGGGCTGGCCTGCTTTAACAGCAGACACTTGCAAGCAATGTTTTTTCCTGAAATGGTGGCAGAAGCTTTACCTGTTCAGCTCCTAAGCTGCTGTAGGACCCCAAAAGCAGCAAACCCATTTGCAGGGCATCTCCTCACCTGCTGCCATAACTGAAGGTACAGCATTGCATGGTGGGTGTTGGATTCCCCTTGAGGTGATTCGGGCTACAATCTCAGGCACATTTAAGCTATGCTCCTTTAAAGACAAAATAGGAGTTACTTCTGAGTAAACTTGCATAGGAGCAAGTGGCATATGTATTGCTTATGCTGAAAATAGGAGCTAAGGCATGATTGCTCAGTCTAATGCTTATGATGGATCCATGCTAGGATTCTAGCTGGCACGTAGTCATTTCTCAAGCAACTGCAGGCTAGACTAACCCTAGAAATACTGAAGAGGGGAGTGACAAGAGTGCCAATGGGCTGGGGGAGGGAAAACCCATCCAGGTCGCCTTTTATGCCTTTATCAACAGCAGCTTGATTGCAAAAATCATAAGAGAAAGCTTTTCACCACATGGCAATAAACAGTTTCAGCCTGCTAATCTCCGAGCAGCGGGGCACTCTTAAAGGCACAAGCACACTGGCCTGTTGAAAAATTGGCAATTCAGTTTGCTACTTGGAATGTGTGGTTGTGCACCTGCATTGTTAGAAAGGGAGGATCCAGGAGGAAACAGAAGCGATACCCACAAAGGCAGAGGGGCAGCCCATTCAGTCAGAACTACCCAAACCACCTTCAGACGGAGGAGGAGAAGAGGAGATTGGATTTTTACCCCGCCATTTACTACACAAAGGAGTCTCAGAGCTGCTTACAATCTCCTTTCCCTTCCCCTCCCCACAACAGACACCCTGTGAGGTAGGTGGCGCTGAGAGAGCTCTGAGAGAACTGCTCCTGAGAGAACAGCTCTGAAAGAACTTGTAACTGACCCAAGGTCACACCAGCAGCTGCGTGTGGGGGGAGGAGTGGGGAATCAAACCCGGTTCTCCCAGGTTAGAGCCTGCGCTCCTAACCACTACACCAAACTGGCTCTCATTGTAAAGCTTCTAGCATGGAGCTTTATCATATGCATGTGTGAGTCAAGAGGATGATAAAACACCCAGAAGCAGGACCAGTGCAAACTAGCCCATGGCAAAGACGACAGAATCTCAAGTGTGGCTTCATACATTAGTTTATTATCAACCTAGAAAAAGAGCACACATTGTGAGACAGCTAATCTTGCAGGAGCTGAATAAAGTGAGTGGCAATTCAGACTGGCCTGATGAAATTGTGAAGGCAGAGGAGATGCAGGCGGGCAAATACCGTCTTTATTTCTTTGCACCTCTCGCAGTTATGTAAAAAGCAGAAATTCAGTGGCATGAAGGTGAAGTGGTGCAGTTGTCCTGCCTTCTGAAACCTGTGTTCATGTCCTCGGGCTGGGCAAGGTAAACGGTGGAAGCTCTGTTAAGTCAACGCACAGGAGATTCACAGCACTGAGATGGACTAATCCTATGTGCAGAGATGGAGAGAGTTCAGCAGCTGCTTCTCCCAGAGCTGTGCCCTGGAAAAGAAAACTCAGGCACCCCAACCATGCACAAAATCCACCTTTAGGCCACGGATAGGGCCAGATGCAAACCATAAGGATCATGCTGAGTCTCCCATCCCTCCACCCAGGTGGTCTGGAAAAAGAGTCTGTTTGATCTCAGAGCCTCAAAAGGGGTACTGACGGCCCAGGGTAAGGATGGTTAGGGACAAGAAGGATCTATTATTTGGAGAGGCATAGCATTTAGAAGCCATGCTGCTTGATAGGCAGGGCTGCACAGGCTGGAGGGGGGGACAAATTCTGCACCAATGTGAACTAAATTCTATGACATATGTGAATGTATGCAAGTTAAGCGTATTTCTCACTGATTGCCTAATTTTTTCAGGGGGGGGGGGAATGACAAGGAGGCTATTCCCACTGCCAGTGAATCAAAATGTTATTCAGCCTCCCCCTTCCCCAGCACCAAGAGATTCCAAAAGGCATTGCTCACACATTATCAAGCACATCTGTATAGCTATGAAGGCTAAAAATGTGTTCTTCTTTTTTTAAAAAACAAGAGCGAGAGATGCTCAAAAATCTGGATCCTGTGTCCATATCCCATGCTCCTCGTGCAGCATTGCAGCATATACACAGCCCCATATACAGGGCAAGCCGGGAGGCAAGATGAGAGGACCAGGAGAAAGCATGAGGTGCAGCACATATGCCAAATGAGTGACCGCAGCTCTCATGCTGTAAATATCTAAGCTGTTGCAGCAGCAGCAAGAAAAGCCCACTCGCTCATGAAATCAAGCTGGACGTCTCACCTCCTCTCTCCTGGTGGAACTGAAGCAACTTCCAGGTTGGTTGCCTCTGCAGGAGGGTCTAATTGAGCCCCCCCGCTGCTCTGACTGCAGGAAAAGCACGCACGCACTGGGAGAGGGAACCACAAAAGGAATGGAGTTGAAGAAGGAATGTTGGGATTGTGGATGGCTAGTGGAAAGAAGCTAGCCAGGGAGCAATGCATGGAGATCTTCCTCTGCTCAGAAGTTCTTGGGGTCTCCTTTCTGGCTCCTGAATGTTACAATATTTGCCGGAATGTGCAAAGCACCCATATTTACACGTCTTCCACACTGCTCCACTGAATTAATGGAGAGGTTTCCAAAGGACGCAGTGGACAGTGTGATGTTCCGCTTGGCTGTGACAAACTGGTTACTGCAGAGGGACCACCTTTCCCTCTGGTTGGCTTGCAGGACTTTTTAAAGCCACTCTATGGCTACTAAAGTGCAGGTTCATCTGGTCAAGTACGTTCCCAAAAGGCGATGTAGAAGGAGGTCAAGCCCAGGGACGGGTTCATAGGAAGATGCCGGATTTGTTGAAGTCATGGAAGTGTGCGTGGCGTGCAGCTCTCCATTGGCTACTGTGGAGTCTCAAGAGAACCAGCATTTCCCAGGGTCATTATGAGCCTTTCCCCGTTAGCCAGGACATGTCTCCAGTTCTATAGGAAAGACAGAAAGGAGTTTCATTGTAGGAGGGTTTCCCAAACTTTCCCCTGAGCAAGTTAACAAGGCTGGAGACAGGCAATTGTGGCTGGGAAGTACAAACCCTACAACACCTTTTTCCTGAAACACCCTTGAGGACCAGTTATTTGCCCCATTGGGGAAACACACATGTTGCCCACCCAGTATACATAAGTTCACAAGGAGCCAAACAGCAGCCTGGGTTCATTTCAGGTTGGGAATCCTGCACAGGGGAGAAGGGGTGAGACTTAAGCCTCCTCTCCAAAACAGGCCCCTACACATCTGAGAATTGCATTTCAAAAATTGTAAGCTCCAAACAAGGAACTCCTGGCGCACATATGGTATGAAAGAAGATGGGGCAGGTCTGAAAACCTTGGAACATGTAAGTCCTTGTGCTCTTCGAGTTAAACAGGTTTTACAGGGGTTTTGTACCGTTTTCAAAAGCCTGCAAAGTCTGTTTCAACAGTGGTAAACATGGGAAGCGAAACCTTTACTTCCAAACTGTTGTCTGTCCGTTATTCCGTCTGGGGGGGCAATGAAGCTCCCGGTGACCCGGCAACGCCGCTGGTTGCCGGGGGCTGTTTTGCCGCCCCGAGGAAGGTGGGCAGCAACAGCCTTGCGTCGTGACATGGGCAGGGGGCGGAGCCGGCTTGGATAAGCCACATGGCTCCGCTCCCGCCAGAGGAGAGTTGCTCCAACGTGCTCGCCCACCCTCCCGCCCTGTTCTTAGTGTAGGCTACGGCCGGTTGCCTATTGGGGCCAGGTAGGAATTTTTCGCTTTTACCCAATATTGGCTGAATGGGTGGAGGTGTTTTTGCCTACCTTGCACTGGGAGCAGTGGAGGGAATAGTTGGTGGTGGGTTGACACCTAAATAGGCTGGTCACTTGGCAGGTTGATGCGGGCAAGTAACCGGAACCGGTGAGCACCTTACGGCATTTTCCCCATTAGGGAACAGGGGGGTCATTAGGAACTGCCTTCGGATTTCCAAGGTCCAGGGTGGGGAATGGTGATCACCTCCTCTGGGAACCTCTTAGGGTATGCTCCTCTCTGCAAGCTGCAAGGCTTCAGGGGTAGGCGCTCCTAGGTGGCGACCAGTTTGCTGGGCTGCTGGTCATGAGCCAGACCGATGGCTCTGGACCGGAGCTGGGTGACCCGCCCGAGAAAAGGGCAAGGAGGTTTGTCAGGGGAGTGACACCTGCCTTGCCTGTTCCGTGCTCGCTTAGCTGGTCCCTTGCCGCAATGTTGTGTTAAATAGTTAATAAAGTGGCCCTTGTTTACTTCCAAACTGTTGTCTGTCCGTTATTCCGTCTGGGGGGGCAAAGATGGCAAATCCGCACAAGCATTTTGATGGTACAGAAGTCACAGCTAATTGTTTTAGGGTGTCATGGCTCCAAAAGCCACAAGACGAGGCTACAAGTCAGGACCACAAGCCCAGCTAGAAGGCTTTGGATTCCCACTGCTGGAAACAGG